TGAGTGGGTCTGGATCTTTACGATGAGAAAAATTCTTTTTTTTTTTTTTAAGATTTTATTTATTTATTTGACAGAGAGAGACACAGCGAGAGAGGGAACTCAAGCAGGGGGAGTGGGAGAGGGAGAAGCAGGCTTCCCGCCGAGCAGGGAGCCCGATTCAGGACTTGATCCCAGGACCCTGGGATCATAACCTGAGCCGAAGGCAGACACTTAACGACTGAGCCACCCAGGCGCCCCAGATGTTAGGACTTCTAAATGTTTGCTTGTATGCCATAAATGGAAATTAAAAAAAAAAAAAAAGAAGAAGAAGAAGAAGAAAGAAGGAAGGAAAGAAAAAGAGCTTCTCTCTAGTGTCTCAGTGAACCAGGCTTCAGAGCACCTTTTCAAAATAGTCTGAATCACTCTTGTTTCTCCTTTCCAGGTCATTTTTTCCCCACAATAAAAGGAAAGCCCTTTGAGGGAAGTAGGGGCCGCACTGAAGAGAGTGGTGGCGGCTTTGCTTTGTGGGGCTTCATGTGTTTCTGCTTTGCCTCTCACACATCTATCCCACAACACAGGGCCAACCCAGTAGGTCAATCCACAGACATCCATGCTGCCAGGATCCTGTCCTCACTGACTATCAAGCATGGAATTGCACTGGTGTGGAAACTGCAGAAAGTCTCTCCGGGCCCACATTTTAGTCTGGGCTCAGTGTCTGATGTGCTCGGGGCACTTTAGAAAGATCTTGCTTCTGCACTGTTTTTATTCCTAATATTATTTGGGATCACTCACCTCCTTGTTTCTTGGTGAGTCAACCTCACCAGGAGGACATCTGCTTTATTATTACTTCAAAGACCCAAATAGGTCACTGTTCATTTTTATTTCATTAATTTCTCCTCTTTATTATTTGTTCTTGTTTCCTGGATAGACTTTTGGTATGCTTCTTTCGATGGAAGTTCGATGCATAGCTCAGTTATTTTCAGCCTTTCTTCTTTCCTAGCATAAATATCGAAAGCTATAGATTTCCTTCTATGTACTTTTTTGACCGTACCTGACAAGTTTTGAAATGCAGGTTTTAATTATTATTCCGTTTTCAGTATTTGTCATTTCCATTATTATTTTGTTTTTGGCCCATGATGTTTTTATCTTTTTAATTGTTGACTTCTCATTTAACCTTGGTATGGTCAGAGAACATGGTCTGTGTGACACTGCTTCTTTGGATTTCATTAAAATTTGCTTTTTGGCCTTCAAGAGGTCAATTTTCATAAATGTTCTGTACATGCTCTAGAAGAATGTGCAGTCTTTAGCTATTGGGGGCAGGGTTTGTAGATGTCTCATATTTGAAGCTTGTCACTTATGTTGTTAAAATATTCTAGATTTTAATTAACTTTCCATTTGCTTGGTCTGTCAAGATTAATTAACAAGTATTGAAATTTGCCATTATGTTGGTGGGTTTGTCAGTTCCTCCCTATATTTCCAGCAGACTTAAAAAGTTACATACATGGGGCAATTTTATCGGATGCGTGTATCTACAAATTAGATTTTGCTTGTAACCTACATAGTGAATTGAACCTTTTATTAGTGTGTAGGGACCCTATCTAAAATCTATGATGTGTATTGTCTAGTGTCTATTTTGTCTTGTACTAATGTAGCTACTCCAACTTTCTTTTAGTTAATATTTGCCTGTTTTGTTACTTGTTACTTTCAAACTTCACGTGTTCTAAAAGTTTAGATGT